ACCGACCCCCTCCCTCCACCCGCCGCACCCTAAACGCCCCGCCCCCCGTACCTTCAGCATCTGTAGCTGCACCGTGGGATTAGACTGCAGGTTGATCGTCGCCAGCACGTCCCGCATCGTTCCGTGACCGGCGAGGTTGACCGCTGCGTCCGACGTGAACAGCAGCTCCCCGACGTCGTTCGCTCGCATCACCGCGGCGACGGCGTCCATGTACGCTGCGTCGGCCGCGAACCAACCGTACTCGTTCTCCACCTGCACGGCGTGAAATTAGCACCGGCCCACCGGCATATATATACCGGCAAATTATTTGGAGGGCCGGTAACATTGGCAAAACACGTTAGCGAGTACCTACATTTATATTTATAGCCTACATTATTTATAGGAAATAGCCAACATTACTGTTTTACTTGAAGGATATCACGCCATAACTTATCAAAATTTTACAAATTAGAAATCGAGAATGCAAGAGTGAAATATGACACTGATTTTACAAACAAAATCTGTGAGGGCTGGTAAAAAATTGCTGTTACCAGCCCTCTAGGCCTGTGCAAAAAAATCTGAATTTCATGCCCTGACCTGGTAGGCGATAACGGCGCCACCCGTCTGGAAGTTGTGTCGTCGCACGAGCGGCAGCAGGCGGCCGAAGTATCGCTCGACGGCGGCCATGAATGGCGCGTACGTCGTGCGCACGCGCATGTCGGGGTCGCGAAGCAGCCACGCGGGCAGCCCGCCGAAGTCCCACTCGGTGCAGATGTACGGACCCGGACGCACGATGACGAACAGCCCCACCTCCTTCGCGACGTCGAAGAAGTGGAGGAGGTCGAGTTCTCCCGAGAAGTCGTACTCGCCGCGGCGCGCCTCGTGCAGGTTCCACGCGACGTACGTCTCGACGGCGTTCAGGCCCGCCGACTTGAGCTTGCTCAGCCGGTCGCGCCAGTATGCGCGTGGCACGCGGTAGTAGTGCAGCGCGCCGCTGACGAGAAATATGTCCTTCTTGTTGAGAGTGAAGACGTCGCCGGTCGCCTCGAGACCCTGGTGGATGCCGCCTTCCGTGTAGTAGGTGTAGAGGTCGTCGACCTCGGACATGTGCGCGAAGTCGTCGCGCATCTTCGTGTTGATCGTGGCCGCGGCGGGCCACGCGAGGAGGATGTAGTATATTATGCCGAGCATCGTCGCGACGACCAACAGTATTCTGTACAGGTGTGCGGGCCGGACGCTGATTATATTGGGCATCTTGGTTCAAAGGTGGCACCCCAAATCACGCATGCGTGTATCGATAGCGAGGGTACAAAGTTTGATCCACCATAACTTCAACTTTTAAAGAGAGATTATATACACGGACAATTAAATAATATAAAGTTAACACAGTGATTTTTTTTGAAATGTAGTAACGGTAAGAAGACACAGACACGTATAGGGCCACTATAGCCTCCACTGTAATATAAAATTGTAGATAAATTACTAACTCAGATCTAGAAACTAGAGTCTAGAGAGTAAACAACCGACACGCAATATTTAACTCCGCCAACGGAGTTGGAGGAGGTTATGTGATCGCTCTCGTGCGTTCGTGCGTTCGTGTGTTCGCGCGATCGATATTAGCGCGTCGAGTCAGCGAGCCAGCCAGCCCAGCGAGCCAGCGATCGAGCGTGTACATGTGAGCGAGCAGCAGCAACGAGCGGCTGCTACGAGCGAGTGGGCAGCAAGCCAGCAAGCGTGTACATGTGAGCGAGCAGCAGCAACGAGCGGCTGCTACGAGCGAGCGAGCAGCAATACAAGCCAGCAAGCCAGCGTGTACATGTCAGTACGCTGGCGTATATCACAGGGGCGGATCCGGGGGGTGGGGTGCAGGGGGTGCGCACCCCCCTTCCCACGCAAAGTGCCCTTTTTGCAAGTTGCCTTATTAAAAAAAAGGTATGATTTTGCCGCTCGCCTGTATCTGACAAGAATTTCACTCAGTCGGACCCGATCAAGCCCTCGTTTTTCTTAAAATACATATATATTGGTCGGGCCCAGGAGTCGGGCCATACCATGCTCAAATCCAAAACGGAAAATCTAGGTCCAAAACTAACCGCTGCCTTTCTTAAAATGATGTTAGCAATACAGTGGTGACACGGAACTAAGAGACGGCGTGCACCAGTCTACCATTCGCACATTTTTGATTTTTCGCGCATGCAAAACAAACATTTTCACTCCACATGCAGTGCTTCAAATTTACACACAGAGTGTTCCAGACGGCATCTCAGAGCTTCTACAATTCAAAAATTTTCCGGGGCATTTCCCCGGACCCCCCTAGCACTGAACAGCACCTCCATATGCTATCATGAAAAAGCTTGGAGAACCTTGTTAAGTATTATTAGCTCTTGATTATATTACCAAATGCACGCATTTCGATCAGCTACGCCAAACGCTCACATTAATAACTAACTTATGGACCAAAAACCCATATATATGTGAAATTAATGAATTTAAAGAGTAAAATTTTTTTCCAGTGCTTTTTTACAAAACCCTCCTTCCTAAAATCCTGGTTCCGCCCCTGTATCGTGCGTTATTCGTGTGTTCGTGAGTCGTATGGCGTATGGCTTATGTCGCTGGCGGAGGTATGCACTCTCCGTGAGTGCACTGCACGGCCCTCGCCTTTCTTTCTTACCACTCATTCTTACACCCCCGGCCGCGAAATTTTTTTTCCCACTTGAGTTCCGAACCCACCATAGATAGTGTTTTGTAATAAATGGTTCTTATATATAGGGTTGGATTATAGTTAGTGTTAGGGTTCGGGTACGTGTTAGTGTTAGGGATAGTTGGTATTCATTTAACATTGTTGCTTCGAGGAAGTCGAGTGAATGGAGTGCGCTGATTGGCTGTGGTCCGGAACTCAAGTGAGAAAATTTTTTTTGCCCCCCGGCCATCCCGGACTCAGGTTTCTTCTCATTTACTCTACTTCCTCCCATCTTCCTCCGACGTCCATCTCTTCCGTTAGCGATCGTTCCATCGTCTGTGTTTCTTCTCCACCACGACTGCCTTTCTCCTCTAATCCCCCGCCTAGCTTTCCTGTTGTCTTTCATCCCCATTGGTACCTCGTCATCCATTCTCCCTCATCATTCTTCCCATGCTCCTCTCTCCTTCACTATCATCATTGCCACAATTATATTTCTTTTTTCCTTTCTTTAATTATTTCTATCTTTATTTTATTATACATTAAAAGTGAGATCTCGAGCTTGCCTCGATCCTCACTGTGCACAGCCTTGGTTTCTTCTAGCTGCTCCCGTCTTGATTTCTTCTTCTTATTTCCTTCTCCCCGTTTTTAACACATATAGGTGTATATCAGGGGTTGGTAATGACAACTTGTCATTATTATTAAACCCCTGGTGTATATACATATATCTCACACCAGGGTATTTTCTTAGGGGGACGAAACCAGGGGCGTGTACAGAATTTATACCAGGGGGGTTCTAACTGTAACCCAAACTTGCGAGCACGCGAAGGGGGGGGGGGTCTGGGGGTAGATTCATGATTCATCAAGCTGCGTACGCAAAATATTTTGCGTAAATCTTGTGTACGCAATCGACGTTGCTTAGTTGCGATTTATCAACGCAGTTATTTAGTAAATTTGCGTACGATTTCGTGTACGCAAGCGAGGCCGTTTTAGGTGCGATTCATCAAGCTAAAATTTACGTAAACCTTTGCGTAACTTTACACGAGCTGACGAGGTGCCGTAAACCACTCTACACTATACACCGAATATTAAGAGCATAGGTCGAGCCGTTAAGATTTGTGCCGCAATTCCGTATTTCCTCCTATACCTTAAGTTAAGGGGGAAATATTCCCCCTCCGTTCACACATCTTGACCTTTGACCCTTGACCCGCAAATTTCTTCACGATCCCCCCGACGTTCCAAATATCGTGACCGTACGTCGAGCGGTAAAGATTTGTGCCCAACTGTTGACGGACGGACGCACGCACGGACGGACGCACGCACGATCATGCGATTCTACAAGCTGCATCTGACTACGTCAGATGAGCTAAAAAAAGGCACCTAGACCGCAAGGCAATACGTCTACTACAGGTGAGCAATTTCTCACGGAATTGCACACACCTGTCAATTTCCTCCACGAAATGCTATCAGTATGAGTAAATAAATTGTTGAAAATAAGACCTGGACGATCGACCTCAAAAAAATCTCGCGATGTCACTGCCAACTAAAATTAATCTTGAATACCACCTCATTACGTCAGCATGATTTTGAGAAATTACACATTTGCATAGGTAACTATGCAACTTAGTAGGTGACACAACACTACTGAAGATTCTTTTGAAGAAAAATCGTTTAATAGTGTCTGTCGATAGCTCTGGCACGCCGATTAGGCATAGCAATCATATCGACAACTACAACAGGTGCAGAGTAAACTACAACAGATGCAGATAAAAGAGGGTTGCTGAACATTAGCATTCCAATTAAAAGAGAAAGAAATTGCTCACCCCAATGATCAAACCATCCATTCCAGAACTCCATTACCATGCGAGGTTTGTTCGGCTGGTAACGCTGCAAAGCAATAAAATCCTCGGTGTAAATTATAAATGACGGTTTGTAAAACGTAATCTTCAACATCCCACAAGTAGCCACAGTAACGCAAGGGCGTGTACAGGGGGGGGGGGTCCAGGGGGTCCGGACCCCCCCTTGCTCGCGCAGAAAATGCATCTGAGGGGGTCTAATTTCAATATTTTTGAGACCCCCCCTTCGCGTGCTCGCAAGTATGGGTTACGGTTAGACCCCCCCTGGCCCAAATCCTGTACACGCCCCTGTAACGTAATCGATTTTAATTGACAGTTTGTAAAACGTAATCTTCAACATCCCACAAGTAGCCACAGTAACGTAGTCCCGTATTTAATAAGGTACACGTTACTTTCTTACTACTTACATTCGATTTAATACACTACTCAACCAGGATGATCGTTACCGGGCTCATTATTTTACACCGACATGACGTATCGAAACAAACACATAAAAAAGAAAGAACATGTCGTTCAGGCCTTGATGTTCGTTATCTCGAATGGCACAACTGAGAAAAAACCACAAATTTTAACGGTATCTCTGCGTAGAACGTGATCTTTATCCAGGCTATATATGTGATGGTGACCCAGGTAATAGTCTTATATAATAGTCCATATTATGACACTCCTGATACTATAATATCAGGAGTAAGATATATATCTTATATTATAATATCGTTCTATATTATCTTACCCCTGATAATATCGATACACAATCGAGCTCTTGTTGTGGTTGGTTACTATAGTGTTTCGTGCCATCTACTGTGGAATGACTAGGTTAAATACAAGTATAGAAATAGGCACCTAGACCGCAAGGCAATACGTCTACCACAGTTCTCACAGAATTGAGCACCACCTGTCAATTTCCCCCCACCAAATGATATCACTATCAGTAAATAAATTGTAGAAAATAAGACCTGGACGACCTCAAAAACATCTCGCGATGTCACTGCCAACTGAACTAATCTTGAATACCAACCCATTACGTCAACATGAATTTGGGAAATTACACATTTGCATAGGTAACTCTACTGAACACTATACGGAAAATTTTTTTGAAGAAAAACGTTTTTAAAATAGTGTCTGTCGATAGCTCTGGCATACCGATTAGACATAGCAACCATATCAGGAGTCTATCAATATTGATAGACTCCTGACCATATGGACAACGACAACAGATGCAGGTGCAGAGTAAATTACAACAGATGCAGATAAAAGAGGATTGCTGAACATTTAGAATTCCAAGTAGAAGAGAAAAAAATTGCTCATCCCAATGATCAAACCATCCATTCCAGAACTCCATCACCATGCTAGGTTTGTTCGGCTGGTAACTCTGCAAAGCAATAAAATCCTCGGTGTCAAAAATCAAAACAGACAAAACACCACATAAAAAGGCCTTCGGGCCTTTCCGTTTGTAGCCCAAAATCTGTGCGACAGTAAAAGTGAAAGCGTGCATGTCGGCCAATATGCGTGTCTTGAAATTACCATATTATATTTCATAATCGGATTGGCTGGCATTCGCGTTAGTCGGAGCAGTTACAGTTTGCTCCACATATAAAAATATGTACAAATGGTTCATATCAATAATGAAGCCAATAAACTGCAATTAATTTTATGGTGGCCCAGGTATAGGAGTCTGTTGCTATTATTGTGAAGGCAATAGTTTGATCATTGGTGACTGGCGCGGCGGCGCTAGTATTGCAACAACGTCACGACCAGCCTGGAACAAATGTAACTAGACAGAGCATGTGCCTGATGCGCGCGGACGTGTACGTGCGTGCGTGTGTGCGTGCATAAGCACGCACGCGTGTGTATGTCACATTATCAAATGATCGCAATGCTAGCATCAGTGCTGCTCTGGAAATTTAAACCACGTGATTTTTATTCAGAGTATTCTACTCAACTAAAAATAAATAAATAATTACCATACTACACAGACAGGCGGCGCCTTTGACGCTTCTTTTGTCATAGCTTGACATTGTTTTCGTTATAAGCGAGTTCGTAGTTAGCCGTGTACGTGCACACGCCGTACGCACTTGTACGTGCACATGCACGCACTTGTACGTGCACACGCACGCACGTGTACGTGCACACGCACTACAGTAAAAACCCGCGTATAAGAACCTGTATTTTTCCATGTTAGCCTAAAATAGTTCTTATATAATTGGTGTGTACTGGTAAATTAGGCTATTTAGGTTCTTAAATAAGTTCTTATTTTCTTAAGAAAAAAGTGCTTGTGGCTGGTACAATATTGGTGCGGTCCATTGTTTATACAAAATATTCCTATAATTATGTCTAAATGACTGCAATCTAGACAAATACAAACCCTATTCTACGTTCTTATTTCTTTTTATGCCATTTATACCTAATAATGGTATATAGACCAACAAGACCTTGTTTTAGTTGATTTATGAATTTTAAAGTGTTAACTGAATTTTATCAAATAAGAACCTGTTTCAAATTTTAGGCTACAACAGGTTCTTATGTCAAGGGTGTCTAAATGGAAAATCTTAGCCTAACAGGTTCTTAATCACTAGGTTCTTATACGCGGGTTTTTACTGTACTCAACTAAAAAAACGTGGGTTGCTGCAGCACACCCTGGCACCCCCGGCTAGTAAACGGCACTAATGCGTAACGCGTAACGCTATGGGTCAAGGTTAGGGTTAGGATCAGGGTTAGGGTTAGGGTTAGCGACGTGGATATTCGTCCGAGCATCGTTGCGCATCACTACGAACGGTTATACACCCTAGATTAATTTGGGTACTATATGACACGCGTATATAAGATAGCCGAGTCGGTTTAGAGTTACGGTTAGGGTTGGGTTAGGTTGACTGTTTGTACTTGTGTGTATATTTTGCTCGGACGAATATCCACATCCTTAGGTTTAGTGTCACAAGTCACCATAAAACAGCGTTACGCATTAGTGGTACGGAAAAAATAGACGCCCCGGGACCCGCAGTCTGAGCCCGCAGTGAAAGGGTTTTAATAATTAGAATTAGCAAGAGCTGGGATTCGGGCTGAATCCTCCCCCTCCCCCGCACAACAACAGCTTTCAGGCCCGTCGAACCAGTTTCTTTTTCTCTTTCTTTTCTTTTTTTTCCCTTTTTTGTTTAAATCATAGGGGGCAACCGCTCCCCCCCCTCCCCGTGACGCCGCGCCTGTCTCACGCCCCTCCTCAGCCAACCCGACTTTCCGTACTCTTCCTCATCAATGAATGAGAATCAGCTGGTTGTGCCATAGACAGGCCCACCGTATATATTTGCGTTTAGTTGTATATATCTATGGTTTACGTAACTTTGTCGCGTACGCATCGCGCGCGTAAACGTGTGCTGCCGCCTGGCGAGACGAAATCACCTGTTGGTTGTTTGTGTTGCCAACATGGCCAGCCCTCGGAGTACGGAAGCTTTTCCTCCGTTTCAGCTTGGGAAATCGCGCTTCGATCAGGTAATTCTTTTACATGGTGTCTTTGTCGGGATTCCAATTAACTCACTGTGATTTCGTTAACAAGCTTGCGTAAACGCAGTACTACCAGTAGGAGTAGTATTAGTAACCGATGATGCTGACCATTGAGTGAACTTTCTCGCTTCTGCACGCTCGCGCTCATACGGCATAACCACAACAACACGAGTCACAGCTGTGCATGTCAGCATAGGCTCTAGTAACTGTAGCCCGCGTACAGTTGCCGCTGGCAGTCAGCATAGCACGCTTGATCAACTCTTCAGTCTTCGCAGTATCGTACACGATACAGCAGACGTTCACGCGCTACGAGTACATTTAAAAACGACGCACCTTTCTATATACCTTCTACCTAGTCTAGGGTTAGGATATAATTTTGTGATTGCCATGATATAAATAGGCCTATATTATAATTATAGAAATAATACGAATAGGTATCCGACAAGTAGGCCTACATTGATTGAACTCGTGAAACAAAAAAACATGTTTGTTTAGTACAGTAGGCCTATATTTTAGTACAGTATATTTCAGTCTTAGGAATTATCAGATTTAATTGCATTTAATTCATTGCATTGATTGTCAATAAATTGATAATGGTTATCAATATTTATACTATAATTGCCATATTTGTAATTATCAAAAAAACTAAAGTCAATACCAAAAGTTCAGACAGTGTGACTGCATGGAGTTTGCAGGATCAATGTGATGATCAGAATCAGTATCACATCGTGACATGTCATAAGAGTTCCTAGTTTGGGACCCCGGCCGTCATTTTCTTCAAATGTGAGCCAGGTGCTAAACTAGGATTGGGCCGATAGAGTATACCAGATTTAGCCCATATAATTTATATGAAATACATTTGAGCAGCTAGGTTGCCTCGTAACTTGATAAATATTAAACTTCAAAGTCGAAGGGACTATATCGAAGATAGAAAGAGACCATGCAAGTTGAGCAAATAAACAGATTAGATATGCTGATGGTATCTTAGTTTTGTGATAGATTGTTATATTTACGATGGCTGTTTGTTTTGTGAGTAATTTACAATGTAGTTATAAAACTTATAATACTCTACGCGTGCATCATAATCTAGCAACGTGCAATGCGCCATGCATTCATCAGATTTGTTCAGGTTTTTTGTGCCATCTCAATTTTATTCAGTATTATTTAGAGATAATATAAAAACAATATTGAAGGTTTTGAGAGTTGATGTCATTGAAGATAATAGGTTGACTCTCAATTTCAATCAATAATGCGCATGCACACAGCAATCATTGCTATAGCACATTGCTTTATATGGCATATAGGCACGCTTCTATCTTGAATGTTTTCAGAGTACATTTGGAGGGCGGTACCGTCATTTCCTGGACATAATTGATCCTCGAACGCTTTTTACCAGCAAGGTAAATTGCATCTGTGTTCAAACAATGTGGTTGTATGCATTGCATTTTTCATTGACAGTAAATCGTATTCTGGAAATATGTTTTACAACAACACGTATATATACTTGTTTTTTTGTTCAGTATGCATTTATTTGTGGTGCGTGGTATTTGCGTCACTGAAATTTAAAGGCCGATGATTTTTACATATCAACCAACATGGTTTTATGGTGTCATTTACTTGTTGCACATGGCTAGGATCCTTGACGACATGATAATTTAGTAAATTAGTAAACGGTTATAACAGTGTTTATTCTATTTTCACCTTATACCGTTAAGATGTTTTTATATGAAACAGCAACAACTCCGAAACGCAGTACTTCTTCTAGACGAATACAAAAATGGCACACTGCCACCTGGTGTTGATGATAAAAACCTATGGGAAGCACAGAAAATCAAGCAGGTGATACTACTGATGATTAGTGTTGATTTTATTGCATCCTTTAGTTATTTTAATATGAAAGCTTTTGCTACAATTGAATACGAAAATGGCTTCCTGCGAATATGTATGTGCGTAATAGCCTATGTATGTGTTGTATAAACGTATCTGAATTTTGTGTCCTTTTGTTATCAAACTCTCAATTTCTTGGAATTTGAGGCGCTGTGCGTGGAATGCTATTAAACGTCCTGTGCGTACGATGACAGCACCTTACGTGGTGTTATATTGCTTTTTGAACAGGCTATGTTGCATCCTGACACGGGAAATAAGGTCTTCATGCCATTTAGAATGTCAGGTTAGTATTCAACTAGGATTACTACGAGATTCCCAGCTTCTTCTATGGAAGCAATGCCAGCAGATGTATAGAAGTCAATATTGAAACTGTAAGAAGCCAGGCAGAGATGAAGATCAAGGAAGGAAGTAGCATCGGGATAGTACTTGCCATTGGTCTCTTATAAACAATTCATGAGATGCTATAGAAGTTGTAGTGATTTTTACCAAAAAATCAACAAGCTCCCATTCAAAGATTACATTGTGTTGTGATTTGAATGATCTTGAACATGCTTGTGTTTCCACTGACTCATTGACTTTCCTCTCAAGAGGGCTGTTTAAAATTGATAATTGTTGTCTGTAACATTATTTTACAATCATATAAAGACTCGCAGCTAAAAGTGGATAATAGCGAGACATGTATATAGAGAAATCTTTTTTATCGCTCACCCGTGTCCTTTACGCATACAAATCTACTCTTTCAGGGTTCGTGCCCTTTGGATCACCGATAGTAAGTAAAAAAAACGATTAACGCCCCGCTGTACACATTATTGGTGTTGTGTAGCTAGTAATACTCGGCTCAGCTTTATGCTCTCCCTACCGAGCTATATGATTCACGGTAATGCTTCAGTGAGCACCCCCCAGGCTATCAGCTGGCATGGCAAGCTATGCCGTGATCGGTTCGCACACATCGTACTCAGTAGCTTCCGTAAAGAAATCCTTTATAATGGATACGCGCGGTTTAAAAGCCTCCGACGTGTACTCGCACGTACGCGCGCGCGTACATACGTGGCGAGGCTTAGGCAAACTCGCTCCACATTCTGAGGTTTTCGATCCGCGTTCGTTTCAGGTCGTGGGACTGCTGCTGCCCAACCCCACGCTAGGCGCCACAATATTCTGGCAGTGGGCGAATCAGAGCCACAACGCCTGCGTCAACTACGCGAACAGGAACGCGACAAAGGTGCGAACGTCGCAGCAGATAACGAGTCGTCGTTGTCGTCGTCGTCGCCGCGCGAGCGATCAATAAGAGCGTGAGATCGTCTGCTGCCTGCAGCAGCGTCTCTCCGTGCCGACGGCTTAATCGGCGTGATAAATCGAGCCGCTTCATCACGAGTCTCGTCGTGGGTCCCCGCGATGAAGCTACGAGGATTCCCTGTGCGCGCCGAATCCCCGCAGTGGCGCGTAGATGGAGCGGATTTGCGAGACAAAAACGCCGGAGGAGGAGGAGGAGGAGGAGGAGATGGAGATCTCAGATGCGCTCTGCCGGCACGCGGTGGTGCGAAGATAGAGAGGATTCGCGAGACAAAAACGCGGGATGAGAAGGAGGAGGAGGGGGGGAGATGGTGATCTCAGACGCCGCCGCCGCCGCCGCCGCCGCGTCAATAATGCACGCGCGCGCGAGCGAGCCGCAGCTAAGCCGCTCGATTCAATTAGGCGACGACACGTCGAGCCGCACGGCTCTCCCGTCGTCACGGCGACGCACGCGAGTCTCCGCCGTCGTCACGGCGACGCGCGCGAGTCTCCGCCGTCGTCACGGCGATCGATGTTTGCGCGTCGGGCGGGTGGGGGGGCTGGACGGTGGTGTGGGGTGAGTCGGTGGTCGGGTGGGGTCGGGTTGGGTTGGGAGGGGAGACGTTGGGCGGACAGTGGAGTGGGGTAGAGAGGGGGGAGTTAATAGAGGGAGAGATAGCCGCCCGTCGTCGTCCCCCACCCACAGTTCAAGACTGGTGGGGGGACTTTCGAGTGGAATGGCTTCTTTTTACGGACCTTACTAGGGGTTATGTAGTACAAGTCGAGATTTTCGAAGTCAGGACCGGCCGGGTATTTCAGGCTCAATTCCAAGACTGCGCGTCGGGATTACGGGAGCGGCGTGCAACGTGATCAGAGGCTTCAGCGGTCACCGCACGCTCACTTGTCGTCAGCTGCTGCCGCCGCCACCGCCGCTCATCATCTCGTGAACATTGCTGCTTACGGCAGCGTCGGCGAAATGCTGTGTATTTCCATGGTAACAGCGTCGCACGCTGTTTCCGTTCGAGGGGAGAATGTACCGCTACTGTGGCGAGCGCGTTCTGTACGAATGTCCCTCGGGGACGGCACGGTGACCATGGAAACGCGCGTAGCCGCGCGGTATTTTTTTTGGTAACGAACGGAAAATGTTTGCGCGAATACTGAAACTTACGACAAATATTGCGCGAGCGATATTCTGTTTGCATAATAGATTGGAGGAAGCCATTAGCATATTTTGGTGTTAACCAAGCGTGCTTCACTCTCTAAGGCATATAGCTGAGAAGCACGGGAATATAGGATAAAATTTGAACGTTATTTTTCTCATTAGTTATGAGGGAGAGAGCTAGCGTCGATACTCTGTGTGAATATGGATTCGTGCCGGAGGCGACGAAATACAAAATGTTAGTGATTTCGCTAAGAGCGGTGCGCTGCAAGAGTAGGGATGCCCCGCGCACTCTTAATTAGTCGTCGTTAATTGTTTCGTAATAATTTCTTTTCGTCTGCTTTCGTTCAGCCGACGCCGATGTCGCGTTTCATCGCTGGATATGTTGGCGCTGTTACGAGTGCTGTCGGTATCGCGGTAAGTGCATCTCTCTCTTCACTCATATTTTCCTACTGTTACCGCTATTGCAGTTTGAGTCTCGTTGCAAAAACGCGTCTCGTTATGTATTTGCGCCGAGCGTTGAAAAAATTGCGGTTGCTTTGAAGTAATGATCAGGCCCCCATGTATTGTTTTTAGCTCATCTGACATAGTCAGATGCAGCTTGTAGAATCGCATGAGCGTGCGTCCGTCCGGCCGTGCGTGCGTCCGTCTGTCCGTCAACAGTTGGGCACAAATCTTAAGGATACTCTCCACGTTGTGCATGAAATTTTATCGATTTTTCGTTTTCAACTTTATTC